GCGCCACCAATTTCGCCCAATCGGAGATTGGGATCTCCTCTGACCAATAGAAACTTCGGGTGAAAATTAGTAAATGCCCAAAAATGGATATATATAATCTTGCTCTTGTAAAATAAGTAAGCCCCCAAAAACTCCACACGTGGTGTGGCTGTCCGAACCATAACTTTGGATGATCTCCTTTCTTTTTACTGTTCCCAAACTTCAAAGGCAATTTGTTTTTTTCAAAGGTTTACAAAGTGGATGCTATTATTTTATTTTTCAAATACATGTAAAATTTGGTTTTTTTCTTTTTTAATTTTTGGTCGTGGCTCTGCGAGACTTTGTCTCTGAAATCAAAATTGTTTGCATATTTGCCACACATTACGTGAAAATGAAGTTTTTGGTGGGATACTGGGGTAGCTATACGAAACAGCAATGTTTATAATAAAGCATATATGAACCTCAAAAAGGCAATGATAGTTTAATGAATTGAAGAAAAATAAACGTCTTCTCTAACTGGTTCCGTTAAAAACAGTTTAATTGACATATTCAAGTCATTTTTTTGTTATTGACAAGAAAAGGGCATCAAAATCTTAAATTAATTCGTCCTTTATGACTAATATTATATTTGTCAGAGATTACACTATATAGGAATATGGGATCGTTCAGAAACTATTAGATGATCAAACCGATTTTGAACCACCACCTCCGACAATGTTTGCTATTGTAACATTATCCGCTGAATTGGCTCTATATTTCTCGAGGACGTGTTTATAATTTTGGTGGCCCTACTACGGCATTGGGAAGTGATACTGATAGAGAATCTCGACTTCGTTGTCTCGATGAAACTTATAAGCCTTTGTCGCGCGGTTAATTGATCCATAATTTTAGAAACCAGATAATGAACAGTATAACTACCAATGACGTTATACATCTTGTGTAAAAATGGCATGCATATTTATACTAGTGTATTTTTTTTGGCATGCATATTTATACTAGTGTATTTTTTTTGGCATGCATTTTTTTTAATTACAGGACAAGTATCTGCAACAAGTCACAGGTCCGAATATTCTGATGAAACTGAGACTCTGGGTCGAATTTACCGCCATATTTAATGAGGAAAAAGGGAAGGGCGCTCTCCCACGAAAATGTATAACGTTATATCTGAAGAAATTGGACTTAGTCCAGCTACACTTGCAAGCTTTTATCGCCATCAAAAATCCCCGCAAAGAACTTTGTTGGACAAAATCGAGGCTTGGATCGAGAAAGAAGTAAAGAAGGAAAAAAGAAAGATACTTATTTTAGTAGTATAGGAAGTAGTAGCAATAGAAATGATAGTAATATATTCAGTAGTAATAATGATAATGACGATATCTAGTGTGTGGCGGGGAAAGGAACTGCCATTTCTTTACTATGTAAAGGGGCTTAGGATCCGGCAGGCATGTTTTCATGCTTTATTCCTCCCTCTTTGTCTCTACTCCACAATTCTATCTTCACAGGCCGTCCTTATAAAGCAATTATGTGTAATATATCTTAAAAATAATAAAGCAATGTCACTCGAATCCTAGCTTTTAAAATCAATAATAAAGTTTCATCCGCAATCTGGTCTTTATTTTTAATTCTGTTAAGGGAGCCCAAGAGTTATCATACTAAACCATAAAATGTTTCTCTTAAGTCCATTGCTGGAACGTTCCCGTGTAAGACCCGCAAACCTACCGCTAATTACCACTCTGAATCTTTACAGATCCAGGCAACTACGGTAAAACAAGTGTGGGAAGAAGTTCCCCTCTGCTGAACTGTCAAAATCCACCGCTAATTACCACTCTGAATCCTTACAGATCCAGGCGACGTTGCGTGGCAACTACGGTCAACAGATTAGAGGTGCAATGGTGACAAAATGTTTACTATTTAGATGATTTAACTATTTACACGAGTATTTATATTTTCAAACATGCCATATCCAGTAGTTGATTCCCACTTTAAAACATATCATCTTAAGCGCAAAAAACGCAGTTTTTCACGGACACAGATGCCCGACAATGGTCATTTCAAAGATTCTATTCTTCTGCTATTCACTCTGAAGACGCGCCAAAGACATTTAATGAAATCTAATTGAATTCAACGGTACTAGGGAGTTTGAGAAAATGCGGCACGCTTATGAGCAAAATTTCGAAGCTCACGTACTTGCAACCATTTCAAGCGGGTTAGTAACAAAGTGCGAAATGGCAAAAGGTTATATGAAACAAGCGAATGAAATCTTGAACGATACAATAAGAAAGCAGGACGAGAAAGATGAGGAAATTTCTTATACCATCACTACCGATGACGAGGATGCAATACCAGTACGATTAATTTTAATATAGTATGGTCAATAAGTAGAGTCGTCAATTTAATTACCACATTTTTCGTGTTTCTTTAGAAGGACCCTAATCAATTGTATAGTGATGATGAGTCTACAAAAGAAAGTCCAATGTGCAAAAATAATTTGAAAAGGAAACTAGAAGATGAATTACCAGGTTACGATGGATTAGCATTTCTATTTAATGATTCGAACGAAGATACAATTATAGAAAAAATTGACGAAAATACCCTTGAGGAGGAAAGAAAATTGCCACTAGCGGGTGATAATAAGGTAAGCTCTTAATGTTTTCATTCGTGAGCATACAGTATATTCAGTAAGCACATTATCTATCCTTGATAGGATCCGTCCAAATTTATATGTTCAAACGTGTTGGATGCGTTCAAACCCCTCTATCTATAGTCACACCCGCTTATAGTCACACCCCTTTATAGTCACTCTATTTTGCATTCCCATTTACATATAAACATAGTAAAAAAAATCTCCCTCTATAGTCACCAAATTTTGCTTTTCTGAGGATGGTGATTATAGAGAAATTTGATTGTAGTCACATAAGTTTGGTGTTCATTTTTAAAGATAGTGATCATGATTTATTATTGGTATATTTCTTTATTATCAATTCATAGTTCTGCATATTGAAGAGTGCTTGATTTAACATTTATATAAATGTTGTTGTAATATGAATTTTAACATATCACATGATTTCTCATAGTTTATTTTGATTGGATAATTGATTTTCATGTGAT